GGGTTTTTTGGGTGTTTTTGGGGGATTTTTGGGGTTTTTTGGGTGTTTTTGGGGGATTTTTGGGTTTTTTTGTGGTGTTTTTTGTGGTTTTGGGGGTTTTTTTTGGGTGTTTTTGGGTATTTTTTGAGGGTTTTTGGGGTGTTCTTTGAGGGTTTTTGGGGTGGTTTTGGGGGTGTTTTTTGGGGTGTTTTTGGGGTGTTTTGGGGGTTTTTGGGGTGTTTTTGGGGATTTTTGGGTTTTTTTGGGTGGTTTTGAGGGTTTTTGGGGGTGTTTTGGGGTGTTTTTGAGGCTTTTGGGTTTTTTTGGGTGGTTTTGAGGGTTTTGGGGGGATTTTTGGGTTTTTTTGGGTGTTTTTGGGGATTTTTGGGGTTTTTTGGGTGGTTTTGAGGGTTTTTGGGGTGTTTTGGGGTGTTTTTGGGGTGTTTTTGAGGTTTTTGGGTATTTTTGGGGTTTTTCTGGTTGGTTTTGAGGGTTTTTGGGTTGTTTTGGGGTGTTTTTATGTGGTTTTGGGTGTTTTTTTTGGGGGTGACCCCGCTGCCCCCCCCCCGCCAGGCTGATGTTCGTCACCATTTCCCCCCTGGAGGAGAATTTTGGGGAATCGCTCAACTCCCTGCGCTTCGCCAGCAAGGTCCGGGTTTTGGGGGGGTCTGGGGGGGTTTTGGGGGGGATTTTGAGGGTCCCCAAGGAGAATTTGGGGGGTCCTGGGGGGGAATTTGGGGGGGTCCCAGGGGATTTTGGGGTCCTGAGGGGGATTTTGGGGGGTCCTGGGAGGGTTTGGGAGGTCCTGGGGGATTTTGGGGAGTCCTGGGGATCCTGAGGGGGAATTTGGGGGATTCCTGGAGGATTTTGGGGGTCCCCAAGGCGATTTTGGGGGTCCCCAGGGGGATTTTGGGGGTTCCTGGTTGGATTTGGGGGGACCAAGAGGATTTTTGGGGCCCACAGGAAATAAATGGGGTTCCCAGGGAGGATCTGGGGAGTCCTGGGGGGTCCCAGGGGGGTTTTTGGGGGTTCCGGGTGTTGAGAGCCCGCCCCTCCCCCCCCCCAGGTGAACGAGTGCATGATCGGCACCGCCCAGACCAACCGGAAGTGACGCACACCATGGATTCGCTCATTCCCGCCTTTTTAACCGCAACAACCAATAAAGATTCGCCTTTCCACGGAGCTGATTGGCTGATTGGTGTCACGTGTCTTTAGCCAAGATGGCGGCGCCCCGCGTGGCCTTTGAGGGAAATGCCGCGCGCTGATTGGCTGAGCCCGTACGGCAGCCTGGCGGCCGCCATATTGCCGCGCCTTCGCCGTACTGGGCGGGGCCCCTCGCGGCCGCCGTACCGTCGCCATCTTCGCTCTCTTCCTCCGCGCCTGCGCGGCGCCGCCTTCCCGCCTCA